GACGTGTGCTCTTCCGATCTTTTTTACCTCGAAAAAAATTGTATCAGATTGAAAAAAATGAGACCTTTGTATCATCTTAAATATATTTATAATATGACTTCGAAAAAAAAAACTGTTGTTAAATTATAAAAAAACCTAAGTGGCATTGTTTTCAATATATAACAATCACGCAAAATTATTTTGTAATTAATATACCCCGAAAAAAACTATTGTATCAAATTAAACAATCAAAATCCAAGTTGCATTAACTGTTACGTCCGGTGGACTCCACGATTTCTTCGTTTTGTGAACACGCGATAAGATAAATTCTTAAATATAATAACGGCCATCAATCGACAAAATACCTCGACTCAACGAAATTGACCGTTGTCGGTTTCCTTGGGAAGAATTCGGTTTTAGCAAATAGTATAGAACCGAACGTGAGAGATATTTATTACCAAAAACAGATAAGGTATCTCACAGTACACAATTTACCCGCGAAGAAAAACCTAAGTTTGGAACGTTTTTTTTGTAAAAGAAAAAGGCTAACAGATAAACTGTCAACAAGTATGTTTGGGCTGGATTCATGACAAAACCGAAAATTCCATAGAATAAAATAATAAACAGCCCACACATGTCGAGTCGTAAAATCCTATCAAACGACAAGATAGCCCAACAGAAAAATTCAAGATCTCACGTTCGGAATAAACATTGATTTTTGCCGCGGTCGGATCAAACGAATTTGGCCCGATAGATACGACCACCAATAGAAAATCTACCAAATAAGAATCATATCAGGGACCCACCAATAACAAGGTGCGAAACCTAAAAATTCGGCAACGCATCTGAGGTGGTTCACCAATGAGTAGCTTTAAGAATTGATAACTGTAAAACGGGCGGAGTAATCCCAAATCGAATCTCCCAACCAAATTCATTTTTTCCTCAAATTGCCACCTCCCACATCCCATGAGTTTCTGTATATAAGCCGCGATATTCCCGAACTCGTCATTCAAAAATCTGAGTCCATTCAATCATTCTGACACCCGTCAGAAATCAGCCAGCTTGTTAGAGTCAGTGCGCGTTTAAGTTAAAGTGACCATTCTGACCGCCTGATCCAGCCGATTGATCCTTGAGCGGACGACCTGAGTAGCCAAGCGGCCTTCACTGAATTCCAAACCCAGGCAGTTACCAGCTTTTTCGAACCAGTAAGTCATAAAATCTTTCATTGCCACCTCGCGTCCCTTCTTCTATTTCGGATACTATTTTATACTCGTTATAGTGAACAACCGAGAGTTCACTCGCCCCACTGTTTCGCGGAGCCGTCAGCCTAGGCGTTCCCGCCAGCTAGCCCGGAGAAATGCGCGACAATTGCTCGACGAAGCCTTTGAGGAGTGGCGCCGGACCCTCCAAGATGCGGAACACGCGGGCCTGATTAGCGCAACTTCTAAACCCCGATCTCCATCCCCAGAAAAGTCACCTTCGCCTCAAGCTTCTCCACCGCCCTCTCCTTCCTCCTCTGCTGCAACGCAGAGAATCTTTCCCGATACTCCTCCGCATTCCAACCCTTCACCTCCAATTCGCTCTCCTTCTCCCG